TACAGGGGCTGATATACGAAGCTCAGTGGTAGAGCGCTTTCCTAGCACACAGTGGGCCTAGGGTTCCATCCTTAGCATCCCAAAAAATAAACAAAAAATAAATCAATGGTAAAAATAGAGACATAGCTCCCTGAGCATTTGTGCACCTTTGGTATGGAAGAGGAGCAGAGTGAGGGTTAAAGCATGAGGAGGAAGGAATGGGGATAGATGTATATTATATAAGTAGAGATCACATTTCTATCACTTAAATGGACATTTCTACTTTATATGCATAATAAAATGTCTTGAAAGGTTCATGAGTACTTTATACATCATATCATGAGGGTGATTAAAACCTCCTGGAAAACTCTAAAGAGGAAAACATTTTAAAATGAGAGTTAGGTAAGAGTATGGTCTTCCTATTAGGTATGGCAGGGAGACTCACTATGCTTTCACTTCTAGAATTTTTTTCAAAATAAAACTTCAAAATTCAAATTACAAATGAATCAGTATATTCTCATTTTTACAAAACTACTTTTTGTAGTACTCATTTAACACCAAGTATTATAAGCATACCTGAAATAATAAATCTGTAAAATTAAATTACAGATAACTTTTCAGGACCTCTTGCATCATCAATATTACTTTATATTAATATTTGCTGTCTCTTAATGATTCCATTTTGCAACAAAATGACCCTCAACCTAAACATAGCCATTTTCTCAAAAGCCACCACTGCACTTATTTCTATAGGTCAACAGAAAATAGCTTAACTCTACTAAAACTAAAATCACTGCTAGAAGAACTAGAAGCAAACAAAATAGTGAAGTTTACTAATATTTTCTTGCACCAGAGCTGTTATTCCAAGGTATTCTAGACCATACAACTATAACCAGAAAGCCAGAGTTCAAATGTGAAGAAAGCTACTTCATGGCATTCAGTTGCTCATTTCCTGGCAAACAACTCTAACAAACTCTCAAAACAGTCTTCTTCAAGTCATGGCTGAGATATTTGTGGCTCACAATTAAGATATTTAGACTACTTAGTAACCTAGTCCATTATAAGTCCTTGTTAAAGCCATTTCTAAAGAGGAGTATTTGCTCAAATGGCTAAGATTTTAATTAGCCTTTAGGTTATAATTTTTTTAAGGCTGTATTCAAAGACTGTGTTAAAATAGCTACTTTTTAAGACATGCAGCCTTCAAAAGTTTCTCAACTACATTCTTAAGATAAATCTTCCAAATTAAAAGGACACCAAAAAATAAATGCGAATCACATCAAAGTGCCACACTTGCCTCTCTTTCAGCTTCTTTCAATATAGCTTCTTTCTCCTTTACTCGCTGTACAAACATCTGCTTCATTTCTTCTTCCTTCCTCTGACGTTCACCATGGAATTCATGCCTTTTGGCTTCATAGGTCTCTTGAAGACTAAAAAAGTTATGTGCATTATTCAGTTGAGATTATGTAACAAATTTGAAAAACCTCATATACTTCCCATTGGGCCTCAGAAATGTACCTCCAGGTACCATATTCTTACAGTGACCTGAAACATGCCATCTAACCTGAACTCTCACCAAAAGCATGAGAAAAAAAGGCCTCCGGTGCCACATACAATGTCTCAGCAATGACAAAAGTCCTTCACAAGAGGTATCCAAACACAATAATTTTTCCATCTTTGTTAACTATATCACTGTACAGGGAAAGAAAGCTTGAAGAAATGAAGTCCCCTGGGTCTTACACCTTGCACTTATATATGTGTCTGACCACCAGCCTGTCAGTTCAGCCTGTGAAACCAACATCTCTAAAATCCAGTCTCCTTTCAATTTCTACAAACATCCTATTACAGCCCAACTTGATCATGGTCATTTTCTGCCTTCACTGTTGCAATAATCTAATCTCTGGACTTCTAGCACCTCTTTCTTTCACTTTGTTCTTCTTGCCACACCCTAGATTTTCCACCAACACCAGATATCTGGCATATGTAAGAAACGCCAAGCCCTCCTACTTCAACTCACAGTGTGAATATCCTGGAGGTTCAACAGAGAATACAAATTCACTTTCCTGTTGTGTCACACTCAAAAACTACATATAAAAATACCTTAAATATATTCTGAAATATGATGAATTTAGTAATTATACTAATCTTAAACAGTAGAATGTAAGCTTTTGAATACAGAATTCCAAAAGTTAAAAGAAAAACAGAGTAAGAAATGTTGCACAATAACTATTAAGGCTGACAGTTAAGTGTGTGGCACACCTTGCACAAATTCCCGGAGGAACAGATCCTAACAACCTGTAAGAACTCTTTTGCTAAAAAGCACAGCTCATACATGTACAAAATGTCCTAGATATCTCCTAAATGCCTCAAATCCAAAGAACGCATTTTACTTTGGACTAGGTTTTGAGGTAGTTTTCCTTTGTTTGCTTTGGTATCAGTTTAAAGAAACTCCTCTATCCACTAGCTACTTTCACACATTTCAGAAGCCCCACCACATACTGCTGGAACAGCACTGGATATTCTTTAATAACAAAACAACTAAAATAACACCTTGAATTCTTATCAAATGTAAGTTTTTAAAAAATGCTTCATTAGTCTCTTTATATGAGGACTTTTTCTTAGGAGAAAAACAAATGTACCTAGTAAAGAGAAGAGACTTAACAATGGTTAAATATCTGCTACTAGAAATGGACACCTTTGGACTCCTCATGTTCATGATTTGTCATAGCAACCCTGAAGAATAAGTACTGGTATTCTGTTTTATAGGTCAGAAATGAAAGCAGAGAAATAATCTGCCCAAGTAACTGAACAGTAACATGCTGGGACATGAAGGAGATCAGATTTGCTCATGATCATATACCAAGCAGCACAAATCAGCTTGCTCAAAGCCCATAAACCAAGCAGCACAAATCAGACTGCCTCAAATGAGGGGTGTACCTACAGAAAAGTGATGCACTGCCTTGAGTATTTACCATCAACCACTTTCCAACTTTGGCCAACATATGTTTATGAGACCAAATGTAAGTAAAGAGACCTGCACCATCATTCAAAAGATGGTGAAGAAACTCTTAGATCTAGAAGGGAATGGTTTGTGGAGTTAGTATTTTGTAATGAATATAACCACTATTTATTATTTATTGATTTACTAAAGGAAAATGAAACTTTTTCTTGTTTTACTATTCCCTTCCGTAAGATAAAAGTAGCTTCTTATCATGAATATCCAATGCCAACATACTACTATAATTGCAAATCTCACTATTTTAAAGCCAAGTTGAAAATTTAAGAGGAAAAAAAATTTCTCAGATGTTCAAGACATCAAGGAAAGTGATTCGTCAAGGAAAGTCCTCAATCCCTCCACATGCATAGTTTGAATAAGACAGAACTTTTTCTAAGTTTTCTTTGGGCTAATTGAAGAAAGTTAGCTATTTATTTCCTCAGAGTTCCAAAGACACAAAATTTTACTATATTTACATAGACATTTAACTGTAAAATATGACATAAATCTTCCTTTTAAAACTATAGTGATTCTATACTGAAATGTTGAAGGTGATTAACTGTGGAAAGAAACTAGTTATATTAATCTGAAGTTATTTAACTGGAGGTTTAAAAAGCTTTATAAAAGTATGCAGTTTATAAAATCATTTTATTAAAACTGTTGAGAATATAATGCCATGTTCTTGGACCTCATGATAGGCACATGGCTGCTGTGGAAGATGAAAAGGTAAGTTGCAAGTGGTAGCAAGACCTATAATCTCAGTACTCTGGGAGGCTGAGGCACAGAGAACTATTTCAGCCCACCCTGAAGTAACTTAGCTACTTAGTGTGACCTTGCCTCAAAAAAAAAAAAAGATCTGTGATGCAGCCCAGTGCAAAGGCCCTAGGTTCAAGGAAAAAGAAAAAAGGATGCAAATGAAGAAGTGAACTGAAGGTCTAGCAACAAGGAGGGGTGGCTGGGAAAGAGGGAAATAAAGGTTACCATACTACTCACAGGGTCATGTAACACTTTAAGTGCCAGACTGATAAAATACAGGTTTTATATGCTAACAAAATTATAGTGGTTACCAAATTAAATGAGAAAGATTCCCAGGAAAGTAGAGTGTGACTTTTTGAAACTATGAAAAATAAAAGCTTCCTATACATCATACTGTAATGAACTTACAAAAGCCTTATCAAATCATTTAACACAAATAAGAAGGCATCAGAAGAGACCTTTTCCCTCAGTCTGATCCAAGAACTCCAGTAGGAAGTGTCTTCTCTTAAAGTCCCAGGAAGGGAAGAGGACACCCTCACACTGAGGTGACCATGTGACAGCTCCCCTTCTGTCTTGCTTGTCCTCTGCATGCAGCTTCCAGCCACTGCTCCTGCCCAATACGGAGCTAGGCTAATCTGAAGAGCCTCCCTTTCTAATTCTGCAGGCTTCATGTGACCACGGGCAGATGCTTCTCAAACTGAAAGGTTCAATAAATGCATGTGGTGGCCAATCCATGGTTCTCAACTGCCCACCACCTATAAAACTCCTTTGGATGCTGTTATCTGGATTACCTCTCCTCATGGGATACAGTCTGCTGGGGTAATCACTAAAGTTCATTATCACTCCTAAATAGGATAAAGGAACATGACCAAAGTTGAGCTGATTGAGTCCTCCTTTTTATCTGCAGCTGGAACAAAACTGGTTTCTACCATTCTAAGCTTTCCCTTTGATTCTTTTAAGTCCTGACCTACGGAGCCTTCTAATCACTACCCTTTTCATTTAATGTAACAACTGTGGTCTTCCTTTTTGCACTTGCAAAGCATAAACCTGATCCTTAACTAGCTACTCATTCCTTTTTTGACACCTCTTCACTTGGCTTTCCAAACAGAAAGCCAATAAGTGGTCTTTCTCCTCCATCTATCCCTTCCAAACTCTCTTACCTGCAAATCCAGCTGACAAACTGGAGAACGACTCAAGGCTGTTTTCAACACTTTTTTCTTTCCATGTGCTTCTCCACCCCAGGCAGTTGTGTTCTTGCTCATTTTTTGCAATTAACCATCTAAATGCCAATAACTCTTACATGTTTTTTTTGTTTTGTTTCATTTTTTTGTTTGTTTGTTTTTTGTATCAGGGATCAAACTCGGGATCTTATGCTTGCGAAGCAGATGGTGGAACCATGGTGCTAAATCCCCGACCCACTTACATGTATTCTTTTGGCCTAACTTTTCTCCTCTGATCACCAGATACACACTCAAAGGTGGCTTTCTGACAAAGTCACTTGGATGTCAGAGTTAACAGATCCCAAAGTGAGCTGATGATCTCCATCATGGTAACCACCACTGATCCGCGCCCCCAAGCTAGTCCTCAACACCTCTCAATGAATGAAAAAATCCATCTAGTCAATGAAACCATAAATCCAGAAGAACAGAAGTATCCTAGCATCTTCTGGGATTTTCTACTTTTCTGACTTCTTATATTCAAACAATCACTTAAGGTCTTCCAATGTCACATTCTATATTATCTCTTGACTATGTCTAGTTTTCTTTATTTTCACTGTTATTGCTTTAGTCAAAGAAATACTCTTCCAACCATCTAAGTGTCTTTACGTAGCACTTTTACTTTTTCACATTATATCCGAGTGACTTTTTAAAAATGCAAATATGATATTAATCCTAGACTTTGCCTTCCCTTTAGAATAACCAAAGTTCTCACCAGGGCCTCAGAACTGTGATTTCCACCTACCCATTCTATGGTATGCTACCATAACCCTTTCCTGTCCCTATTCCAGGACACTGATCTTTCAGAGTTCCAAACATGCTATTCTCTCTCTCCTTCAGGTTTCTGCATCTGTTTTGTTGTTTTGTCTAATTTATTACAGCTTGTAACAGTCACTAATTCAAGGAAGTCATTCCTAATTTTTCAGCTTAAGACCCTTGGGAACTCTTGCGTTCCATCTTATACTTTGTCTCCTTGCCTCCCCTACAAGCCTGTAAACTCCATGAGAGTCAGAATTACTTGAAACCCACAGCACTTACCCCAGAATCTTACAAATGGTAGACACCTTGGGTATGTATGTGGATGTACAGCTCAGTAGTAGAGCCTGTGCTTAGCATGCACAAGGCCCTGGGTTCAATCTCAAGCAGCAGCACCACCAAAACACAGACACACACACACACACACACACACACACACACACACACACAGAAAAGACACTTCAGAACTATTTATAATTTTACACAGTACTGTTCATGCTGACACCCATCTCAAGCCTAACTTTCCTCTAAATACTAGATTTGTTTATGTATAACCTACTCAGACTCTCTACCTATCTACCAAACTTACATTTAATATTTACCAAACTTCTAGACTAATAACCTTCTCTTTTTTTGGCACCGGGAATTGATCTCGGGTCCTTGTGCTTGCAAGGCAGGCCACCAAACCGCTCAGCTAAATCCCCGGCCTCTAATAACCTCCTAATACCTAGCTTTTCTTCTTCCTATCTTGCTCGTGCCAATAAATCTTCCACCATTCTCTCTGTTTTTCAGGTCAGAACAGTAACTGTGGCCAGGGATTTAGCTCAGTGGTTCCACCACCTGCCTCACAAGCACAAGGTCCCGAGTTCAATCCCCAGTACCACAAAAAAAAAAAAAAAAAAAAAAAAGAACAGTAACTGAGAGCTTTGGGTAGATCTCAGCAGTAGAGCACTTATCTAGCCTGTATTCAATCCCTAGCATTATAGGAAAATAACAACAAAACAAAACCAGAGACAGAAGTCATCCTTGATTCCTATTTTCCTTATATTTTACATCCAAAACAATTTGTCTGGATATCTTCAAATTATAGATCCTAAACAAACAACTCACCCCTTTCTCACTACCACTTGTATTTAAGCCTTTGTCTCCTCCTTTTTGGTTTCCTAGATTGGTCTCTACACTTCCATTTCTGATTGCCCCATCCTCTTACTCACACGTGCAAAATATCCTCCTCCCATACCACCCTAGAGCTCTGCAATGTTTCACTGACACATATGCAAAGAAACTTACTGGCTAGCATGCTCAGCAGACAGCGGATATTAATTACTGGCTAAATGACTGAATGGGTATTTTAAAACATAGACTGGTAGGCTTGATCCCTGGAAGTTCTGACCTTGCACTTCTTAATCCTCTATGTGACGAATCTAACTAGGAAACCCTGATCCCTCTTCATGGATCTTCATAGGTCTCCAGAGCTGTCCTGCCTGCTCTGGGATTTGTGTTCCTTATGAACAGAGATTTCTGAATTGACCCTGAAACTTGGGAAACACTAGGGAAGCCAACTTGAGATAATTAATCTTCAGTGAAGATACACTATAATGAAAAAATGCTCAGTTTACCAGAATTATTGGCCCACAACCAGAATATAACATGCTGCCTGAATTTGATGAATTGGGATTAAATACATACAATTCTTACCTTACTATCTACCAGAAGCTAAAACACTACTAAGACTTAAAATTTAACTTCATCTCTGTTCAACTCTCCTACAAGGTCAAATGTAGTCACAGATAACTGGACATTCTCGTGTTTCTTCCTGTTCTGTTTAGGCTCATGCATGTCTTAACAGTAGGGAAATTACTAAAATGTAAATAGAGCAATGGAAAAGGAGTCTTCAGTCTCACAGGAGAGTTTAAAATAGTGTTTACCCTAAGAATCTCATGCTTTCATCCATGCAAAAACTGTTCCAGGATATTACATGAAATCAGATTTGATTTAGTACATGAAGGATTATAATTTCATGTGTATATGTCTTAATTTTAAAAAAGCCAGGATTTAACACCATATAAAATTTCAAAAGTCTATAGCAACATAAGAAGATCTTGGTCCCAAAATTCTGATAAGAATGCTCCAATACTGTAAGCAACAATCTAATCTCCCACTTTCTAGAAGTATTTTCATTCTCCCCTCACAAGGTGTTTGCTAAGTTTCGATCATTCTAAAGCTTTTTTTAGAATAAAAATCAATTGACAGACTGTTAGGTTATTTAATATGATTTGTTGTCCAAGGCTGTTTTGTGTGTGTGTGTGTGTGGTAAGTTAAACATATTTTCATCTATTTCAGATAAATACAAAAACAATGAGGGTTTCCCTTTCAGTTATTCATGTCAGAAGGCACTGAGGTAGTAGGCTTTTGTCATACATTCCTCCCTCTACTCTATTAAGTCAGATAAGAACTTAAAAACCTTCAAAAGTAAGGTGTCAAGTGATTCCAGAAGAATAGTAATCATTAATTGTCCAATGATTCTGTTTCATAGTTCTGGAAGATTTCCAAAAAAATCTATCCCCATTATTCTGGCACTTCTTCTGCAACCTTCTCTCACTTCCTCTTTGGCTGGCTACCCAGAAAGCTCCTTACCTGATGGGCTTATTTTCTGGGCCCACATCTATAAAGCCCATTTCCTCCAGTTTGCGACGCCGATACAGCTCATAGTGCCTGGTGTGCGTCTGCTCCCTTAGGTCCTCCATGTTCATGCAGATGAGCATTTCCCGCAGCTTCACAAAGTCACAGTGATTTTCATTCTCCACTAGCCAGACAGAAATCAGAAAGAGCAATACTGGATTTTAATGCCAGGTACACAACTGGTGTTTACTGAATGAACAAATAAATTAAAACACATGGGAATAACAGCAAAATGACTGATTTATAGCTATAACTGTTTTGTACAAGTAACCAAGGAAGAAACGCTGCCATTGTACACACTGTATCATAAGCAATGTTAATTAACAGACCAGAGCTTTGCTTAAAGTTTTATAGCCAATGGATAAACAGGAAATACCAAAGAAAAACTTTATTATGCTATGATATGTTTATTTCACTAACATTTTGTCAGTTTATAAACCATACTGACATTTCATTCAGTGCTTTGAAAAGAGTATATAGCTGGGTGTAGCGACGCACACCTGTAATCCCAGCATTCGAGAGGCTGAGACAGAAGTATTGCCACAAGTTCAAGGACAGCCTGGGCTACATAGAGAATTCTAAACCAGCCTGAATGTCTCAAAACAAAACAAAAACAACAGCGCATATAACATTATTTCACTTCAAAATAGTAAATTTGCTATGCCATAATTATCAAATTATTTTCCTACAATACTGCATGTATAAACCTGTGCTACAGTTTTCAAAATAAGTGAATATATTCATGTGGTCCTTCTAAGTTTATAATGACCAGAGGACTACAAATAAATAGGTTACTGTGACTGAAAGTCTTAAATGCAACCATTACTCTTTTTTGTGCTTTTGAGATACGACCTGTCATGTTGTCCAGGCTGATCACAAACTTGCAATCCTCTTGCCCTAGCCTATTTTATATTTTTAATATATTAAAGGTTTTATATTTTCTTAGTACTCTGCATTAATTTAAAAACTGTCAATGTAAAAACCAGCATTTAGATGCCAGTAATAGTAGGGACAATCAAATAAATCAGGTAATACTAAATAATTCATTAACAATGCTAGATAAATAACCCAAATGCCAAGCAGATTTAACTTTAAATTGGCTGATGGATTTGTTTTAGAAATAGCATGGCAATACTTTGATCAGAAAAATTACACAAGTTTACCAGATGGTTTAATGTGCTCTATAATTAAGTGGTAATTAGTTTATTTGTCACGTCTAAACACTATAAATTTAAATTCTGAACAAGGACTAGGGTATAGCTCAATGGTAGAACACATGTCTAGTATACATGAGGCCTTTGGTTTGATCTCCAGAACAAAATAAGAATAAAAGAAAAATAAAAAATCCAGATTTTGCTCAAAGTGCCCACCCAATCAGGGAGGAACACAGGTGTGGCACAATGAGCATACAATGCAGATGAGGCACTCTGCCTTCTTCTACAGATACCAGCCTGAATACTACACAGCCATGTCTAGATAACTCTAGATGAGTATCACCACAAACAAGAGACTAAAGGTAACTTTGAGATGGCTAGGTGTTATGGCTTGTACCTAGATGGGATCATAGGTGGAGCTTTGGGGAGTGACTGAATCATGACTATATGATACTGAATCATGGTGTGCGATACCAGATTAGTTCACTGATTGGTTTAGCATAATTCTGGGTGGGGATGATGGACCTACTAAAGAGGGAAGACTTGCCTTGGCTGGGGGTGGCACCAACCAATAGGCTTGTAGCCTACGATAAAATGAAAAGGGAAAGAAGGAAGTTTGCTTCCTGCCTGCTTTGCCACAGACTGTTTCTCCTCTGCCATACTACTCTGTCTTGGAACCAACTAACTATGCTATGAGTTAAAATAAACCTTTCTTCTTAACTTATGAGTGTCAGGTATTTTGTCTTAGCAATGAAAAAGTAACTAAGACACTAGGCAACATATATATTTTCAAGTCATCATCTCATTTACCTTGTACAATACCCCAAGGGTACTGGCGAGCTTTGACCATCTTATTTCCAACTTTTACCTCATCCATACTTCCCACAACAGCAAACGGCAAATGTTCCTAAAACAGAACCATGATATTAATTGAGCTCCTCATGACATACCAGTGTGATAAGTGATCAACTAAAAATGATTTCACTAAGTGACAAATCTATTAAAACTAAATGATTTGCTATATCTTAGATTTTAAAACTTGGCTTTGGATATACACTGTTCTTGAGTCATGTAAAGAAAATTATCTAAAAAAAAAAAGAAAAAGAAAAAATGAAAATTATCTACTGAACAACTCTGACATATAAGACATTAGAGCTATTGGGAATACTCAGAATTTTAGCATAAGTGTCTTTTTTTGTTTGTTTTTGTTTTTGTTTTTTGAGACAGGGTCTCACTATGCTGTTGAGACTGACCTGTAACTCACTATGTAGTTCAGGCTGGTCTCAAACTCACAGCGATCCTCCTGCCTCAGCCTCCCAAGTGCTGGGATTACAGGAGGGCACCACCATGTCCGGCTAGTTTAGGTGTCATTTTAATCAGTATTATCTGTGCCCTAAAAGACAAAGACTATATTGAAGAAATTATACATACTACATGGTATACACACTGAACCTATATATCTGTATTTAGTGTCTTTAGGCATACGATTCTAACACAAAATAATATATGTGATCAAAATATACAATGTTCAAGTTTAAAAATCACTATAGTAAAAGACACATTGCTATTCATCCCCCTCAAATACTCCTCCTTGCCTTGAATGCTCTTTGCCACTTTTGGAAGCAGTTCTAAAGTCCTCTGGTGAGTATCTTTATGAGATGTGATCAAAAATACAGTGAATGCTGTTGCCTTATGACATCCAACAAAAACGCTGGTTCCTAAAACATTACAGTGTGTCCTCATTCACCTTATTCACCAGATTTGGCTCCATGTAATGTGTGGTTCTTCCAAAAAGTCAATTACCATGAGAGGTAAATGTTTTTAATTGATTCAAGATATTGTGGCAGCCAAAGAGACTCACAGAAGAGGACTTCCAGAACTGCTTCAGAAAGTGGCAAAAATGATTCAAGTGAGGAGGAGTATTCTTTTGGGAGGAGAATCAATGGCAATGTATCTTTTAGTATAATAATTTTTAAAAATACAACTAAGTATTCACCATTTTTTTTATCACAGTCATACAAAGTTAGAAATTGAAGCAGGTATAGTAAAGGTGATAGAAACTAAAAGGAGGAAGAAATCACTGAGAGCAGAAAAGTATAAACCAAACTAGACTAAAAAGGATGGGATTTACTGGATCAAGCAGAGTGGAAAGAAGCAATGTAGAAAATGAGATTCTGAATGAGATGCAACAGCCTGAATCAGGCTCTAGACTCAAATGAGTCTGTCTGAATTTGAAGATCAATAAAGGGGAAAAGTCTAACGTAAAAAGTATTAAGTACTATATTTAATATTTAGTAACTGATATTGCTAAGGTTTTTAATTGTATCTTTCTGAAAAATAATTATAGGAGAGCACAAAAAATAAAATCAGATATAAAGACAATTCAACATGTAGAAATTAAGATCACTTCATTTACATGTCAATTTTTATACATGTAGGTTTCTTCCTCTTTTTTTTTTTTTTTTTTTTTTGTGTGGTACCAAGGATCAAACTCAGGACCTTGTGCTTGTGAGGCAGGCAGGTGGCGGAACCTCTGAAACAAATCCCTGGCCCCTAGGTTTCTTAATATAAACGGGCATGAAAAATTAAAAAGGAAAAGAAAAGAAAGGGAATGTACAGTAACTGGATGTTTATGGACTATTTCTGGAATTTTCCAGTTAGACACATAACCAAGGGCACGCCATTTAATCCTTACAACAACCTAAATAAGTGAGGAATACTATTAATCTAACTTTATATATGTTATCAGACTCAAGGAAGTTAGTAACTCCCATAATCTGCCCAAGTCCCAAAACCACAACCTTTCAAAATACAACCAGACACTTAAAAAATGTTACCACATTTTCCATGAAGAAAGTAAAATAAAGACCTTGGTCATCTCAGTTATATTAAGTTAAAAGTCAGGTGGATGTTGCTCAGGTACACTGATGTTGTGGAAGGTGAGACTAAATACCAGTTTTAAGCAACTCCTCAAAGATTTGCAGTTCTACAGCATTCCATGGTAGGCTGTACAACTTTCCCATGTGTTCAAATAGGAAAGGCATCTTTCCAAGCAATTAAATATGGCTCCACAAAAGATATATGCCAGCCTCACAAATATATTACTTTAGTCAGGTGAAAGCAGGGAAGAAGAAAATATGTTTCAAAAATCCCCTTTCCAATTTAAAATAAAATGTTTGATTCTCCTCCTGGACTTTTTGAAATTTTACTTTGTTTGGAGTCTTTCTGGAAGACCCACATACAAATATTTAAGTCATTCCCCTGCCCAAGATCCCCAGTAGATGCCTCAAACTGTGGTTGATCTACCACCCTGAGTCTATATATACATTTTTCCTACATATACCTATGTATAAGAATCTAATTCATTAATTAGGCACAATAAAACATTAACAATAACTAATAAGAAATGGAACAGTTATAACAACACACTATAATAAAAGTTACATGAATATGGTCTTTCTCTCTTCAATCCCTTATACATGTACTATACTCACCCTTCTCATGAGTTGATAAGATACCTAAGTGATGGAATTTTATCATGCTGTTCAGAATAGCACATTATTTAAAATTTATGGGTTATTTCTGCAATTTTCCAGGTAGTCTTGCTAGACTACAGTCAACCATGGATAAGTAAAACTTCAAGAAGCAAAATTTCACATCAGGCAGATATAGCAGCAGCAATATTAGTCATAAATAGCTTTATTTCCACATTTAAGCAAACTTAGCATTCCAGAAGGAGCTTACATTCATTGCAGCACTGATTTTGGCAATGGTCTCATCATCTGTTGGGAACTGGTATATCTGGACACCATTATTGATTAACTCACTCATGAGCTTCACCTTAAACTTCTGTAATTCAGCTTTAGAAATTGTATCTGCTTTGGCAATCACTGGTATAATGTTCACCTATTAACAAGAAAAAAAGCCCAAAAGTTTCATAACTGAGGATTTGCTTCTTAATCCTATGGTTATTTTTCACACCAGTCAAAACCATTCAGTCACTGATAAATTTCCTTAGCACATATCAGAGGCTTGAGAACCATGGCTTGCTACTTGCTTTTATAAAGAAAGATTTATTGAAATGTCATTGAGCCCATTCATCTAGGTAGCATCTATGGTTGCTTTCTATTTACAACAGCAGGGATGAGTAGTTGCCAAAGACCTATAGTCTAAAGGCCTTGAAGTATTTACTACGTAGCCCTTTTCAGAAGAAGTGTGCATGCCTGTGACCCTGATAAACACTGGCTATGGCCCTCACACACACACACACACACACACACACACACACATATATATTATATAATCATTTCTATAGATGTGGGCCTCATAATAATTGTTTTAAAAAGAAGAGCTCTTTGGGCCGGGGATTTAGCTCAGTGGTTCGGTAGCCTGCCTTGTAAGCGCAAGGACCCGAGTTCAATCCCCGGTACCAAAAAAATAAAAAATAAAAATAAATAAAAAGAAGAGCTCTTCTTAGAGCCATCTTCCATTTAAATTTACATTGTTAAGTCTTGCTTTTCTACTCTCTCCCTTGATCCCTTACAATTCAATGATACGCAAAATAAGTAAAATGTAATAAACAGCTGAAATCACCTGCTTAATTCACTAAGAATATTTATTTACTAACCTAAGCACCAAGTAGTTAGGGTAATCGATCCCTTGGCAACACTAAGAAATAGGTGACAATCCTCTTTCTACCTGCTTCAACCCTTACTCCACCCCTCTATCAGCACACTATCATCAGACCACCTACCTTGATGGCACAGGAAGAAAACTTTGCCAATTCTAAGTATTCCTGATACAAAGGAATAACTTCTTCAGAAGTACTAACACCCATAGGGAGGTGGTATTGAGAAGACTGACTGAATTAATAAATCTAGTGCTGTAAGAGATTAAGATTACACAAAGATTGATGTCTGCAACTTGGGATTCTTTTTTATTTTTCAATCAAAAACCTTAGGCTAACCAGTCACAAGTGTCAAGGAGAGTGTTATGCCTTGTGTTTAAATGTCCTCCAAAGCCTCATGTGGTCATAGGTGGGGCTTTCCAGAGGTGGCTGGATCTAGAGTGTGTGATGCTTGGATTAAGTGTGTGTGATTACTAAATTAGTCCATTGATTGCTTTGGTTTAGTTCTGAGTGTGAATAATGGGAAGGCCCACCCTGTGTGTGAGCTACCTGCCCTAAGGGTATGTAGCCTGGATAAACTAAAAGGGACAGAAAGAGGGCTGCTGTCATCATTTGCTGCTGCTTTTTTGCTACTTCACTGCTCTGCATGCCTCTGCCCACCATGAACTATTTTTCCTCTGTGGTACTCCTCTGCCATGCCACCCTGCCTTGGAGCCAGCTAACTGTGAACTGAAACCACTACAAACTGTGAGATATAATATACCTTTCTTCCTTTAACTTTGGGTATCAGGTATTTTGTTCCAACAAAAAGAAACAGTAACTAAGACAGAGAGTGAGATCACAATGCAGTTTCAGAATGACAAAAATAAAAATAGTACTTATAATTCCTATTCTATACTTAAATTTTTCTGTCTTCTTCAGTTTCACAGATTCAGTGTATCTATTTGGATGTAAAGGTCTTTCACATGCCCCAAAGGAAATAAACATTTTTCCAACTATTTATGAAATTAATGGCAGAAAAATTTCCAACAATCACAAGTAAACAGGTTTCATGTTAAATTATTCAATGTACATAAAAACTTTAATGCTAAGACCTTGGTTTCATATTCTATACTTAGATATTCAATTAAATAAGCCAAGTTATTAACTAATAATTACTTCCACAATAAACTGTAAGAAATTGGCTGCTAAACATCACTGTTTACATGTTTATCAGAGGGAGGGAAAAAACCAAATGTTGTCAAAGATACTCACTTGCTCCATTTGCATAAAATAAAGTAACTTTCTACGTCAAGTAGTCAAGGGATTGTCATTATGAACAGAAGACAATGGTCTAGAGGGGGCCTCAGGACCTAATATTATCCAGGGCTCTAGGCAAAGCAGGATATTCCTATACCCACCAAGTGGCTTGTAGGTAACACTTGTGCCTAAAATATATGTAGCACTGCAAAGCCATATATTAAGTGCCAAATTAAGTAAGTGAGGCATATCTCATTTTTTTCCTTACAACTATAAGGTTAGTTGTAACACTCCTGTTTGGTTTGTACAACAGACAGTTAAAGTTAGGAATATGATGAAGGAGTCCCAATTTCGGTTGTTCCTCACCAGCAGAATAAACTAGAAAAGAGTGGTGACTATTAAGTGATGTAGATGATCTGTTACTGTAACCATAAAACATTTCATTTTTGTTTGAATGAAATTCATTATTGTTATTAAAGTAATACTGTAATATCTCTCACCACCTTTGGTAGTGTGCATTATGTATTTATAGGTAGATGTTACAAGATTCTGCAGGGTGGAGCATTGGATAAGCACTCAATCTCTCTTTTGCTGGTCCCTGAGCACCCACCAAGGGAACATATCTGTCATACCAGCTTCATCAAGTTTTACCAAAGTTCAGGGACTGTGCCAAAAGTAAGTCAACCTATGTGCTTCAGCAGCAGGCTTCACACTTTCCACCCCAATATCTATCAAGAATTAGACCATCCCAAAGCCCCTGTATTAAATACTACCTTATACAAGGAACAGACAGGATTATGAAAGGGTTATGCATTTCTCACACCAGTAGAGATTATGGGTGATTCTTCATTTAATATAAGATGATAAATAGACTTTACCCATCTTTTAAACAAATATAAGAATGTGGAGTGAGTTAATTAATAGATATTTTTAAATAGCTCTCTAAATTTATACATAGCTCCTTGGCTCAAAAATTCTAAAGTAGGTTTCTTGGTCTGGACCAAATTAAAATACATGTCAGTATTACATGGGATGAAATATTACAATTTTATCTTCGTCAATGAAGTTCTTACTTAACAATGTCACAAAGTAAAATCAGTGTGAAATAAATCCTGAATAAAAAATGTAGAGAATACCCATGACCTGGCAAGCAATCTGATCACTAAAACAGGAGCTAAAATTTTAATGTTTCTTCTTTGCATCTCATCTCCATACTTAATTACTCTAGAAAACAAGATATAAGATTATCAGATATTATAAAGATGCAAAGAATACAAGCTACCACACACACACATATGTATATATAAAGCTACTATACATACTATATACAACTATCACAAAGGTAATTTAACAGTTCACCAACACATTAAAGTCTGATAAGTTGAATCCTTTCCTGTCCCACCTTGCTGTCCAGGTTCTTCATGGTTAAGAGGTCAAGTGTCTTCAGAGAGTGGCCTGTGGGGGTGATGAAGTAGAGGCATACGTGGATGCGAGAGTCATGGTAGTTGAAGAGAGAGCGCTTGATCTTCAATTCTTCTTGGAGATAGGCCTCAAACTGAGCATTTATGTAGTCAACGATGGGTTGGTAGCTGAAAAGATCATTATTTAAATATGATAGAACGTATCCAGGCTACCTTAAGATATCTGTAAAGTTTGAGGTATGTATTTTTAGCAATTAATAAGCAGTTGAAATCTATGTTAAACAGGTAACTTTAGTGACAGAACATAACATGCAGAACAAGCACTCACAGAGGTAGTATTTCCAACCATCAGGAAGACCTACACTTGGAACAGTATTGAGTTTATGACTCATTCTTGCAACCATTCATGTTGGGTTCTAACAAAGGGACCAACACTTGCCAGACTGCTCAAAGAAGGTAGGAGTCTAATTTGCAACCAAATTGGTACACAGCATATTGTTTAACTGAGGAAAGGTATAGTTATCAATTAAAGTCAAAGATTCATCTTGTAATGAAAGTAGATAGAACTATGTTATAAGTTGCCTGACAATTCTAGTCCTTTGGTTCATCACCTCTTTTAAACAAACCTACAATATGCCATTTTCCCTGCTGAGATGGTAAACAATGTGAAGACAAAGATATTATCTTTTAATTCTGTGTTTTCTGTAAGAACTAGCATAATCCCATAACATTTTAAGAACTCATTTCATTACCAGAATGACTATGAAAACCTGCAAGTGATCCTAAGGAAACCAGTCTAAATGTGACCCAAAAGAATTCTCTTCCCAAAACAATAGTAAAATCAATTTTTAAGCACATGTTTGATATAAAAATGCTAAATTTAGTAAAGACTTAAAATAGCTAATAGAACCTATTAACCTAAATAATCATGAATGTTTCTCTATCTGAATGCCCTGTTTTGTAATTTTCAAAAGTAAAAATCATAAACATTTTTGCTATATAAATAGGAATCCTTCTATAGTAATTTCCCCTAGTTTCCACTTCCAAAAAATAATAGACTTGCTCTTCCAATAAAAAGAAAGATGACTTAAAAACACCAAAGAACTCAAAAGGTGGTAAGGAGTTATGTAACCAGGCCAAAATTGAAGAGAAAACCAGAGCGGGAAGCATAAAAAGGGAAGCACACTACAGTCAAAGAACTAAAGTTAGCCCAATGCCTACTTCTGTAAATAAAGTTTTATTGAGATACAGCCAAATTCATTTGTTTATGTATTATCTGTGACTGCTTTCCTACTACAATGGCAGAGTTGAGCAGTTCATACAAAGGCTCTATGTCCCACAAACTTTGAAATATTTATTCTCTGGCCCTTTACAGAAAAAGTTCATCAAGCTCTGCATTAAAAGCACCAACTCTAGTTTTGTCCTCAGATAATTTATCAATCCAGTTAAGGGACTTATCTTCTACAAAACTCACAGGGCAAGAAGGAAGAAATCAAAGGCCAGGGCTAAACAAGTGGGATTCTAGTTAGATTCCCTCTCCAGAGTGAGCTAAGATCGCAAAAGCTTATACTTTCAGGGTAAGGATGAAACAGAAATACTGTAAAACTGTTCATTCCTTCTCTCCAAGGAACCACAAGAAGGGACAGGCATGGAGTTGTCTGTTGTCTCAGTGTATTGTCTCTCCTCTCCACTCTCTCCCCAGCTCGAAGAGCCCTTGCACAGGGAAATGGTGATTTGAGACAGTATGAAGATAAACTCTAAATATAGTCTTCATTTTTTCATGTGTTCTGGAGGAGTAGCAGGCTTCTGGCTGAGCAACCAACCAGTAACACTGGCATAAGATGAAGTGGAGAAAAACAAAAACACCAAAGAAACAACACATCCCTGAAGCTGTGGCCAGTGTCAGCCTTGCACATACAGAGTCCTCTGATTCTGGAAACTGCAAGCCATGAAGCAGGTCTAGAATCTCTAGAGTATCTAGATCTCTTTAGGGATCTCTATACCCAGAGGGTATACAAAAACAAATTTGTTCAAAGGAAGACATCTTCACCTTAGATCTCAAAACATCCCTGCAAATAATTTTTAAAGATCATGAGAGCGATAATAATAAAAAAAAACCAAGCACATTACAATGTACAATAAATAACCAAAATGACAAGTAACCAAAATGATAAACAATAAAGTGTCCACCAAAATGTTATAAATTAGGATTTCTAATAATTATAAAATAAAATGAAAACTTGAATACAGATTATGGAAATAGGAAACTAATAAAAAGTGATCCTGCAAATAGGAATATAAATCACACAGAATGCATAGATTTGAAAAATAAAGTAACCAAAATGGATAATGCAAGGAATAGATTAGACCAAGCTAGAAAATTAGGAACTGGAAAAAAGATCAAAAATAATTATGCAGAATGCAACAGACAGGTGTAAAACAAAAGATTAAAAAACTGAGACTATAAGTGGATTGGAGGTATAGCTCAGCAGTATACTTACTGCATGGTTATTAGCATGTACAAGGCCCTGGGTTTGATTAACACCAAATAAAAGAAAAAGGAACCGCCGGGCATGGTGCTGCAAGCCTGTAATACCAGCACTCAGGAGACTGAGGCAGGAGGATCACTGTGAGTTTGAGACCAGTCTGGCCTACATAGTGAGTTGCAGGTCAGTCTCCACCACATAGTGAGACCCTGTCTCATAAAAAAAAAAAAAAAGAAAAGAAAAGAAAAGAAAAAGGAACCACAGTGTCTCCATAAAGAAAAAACAACTCATAAAAAGTACTTGTCTACTCATACTTTTTTTTTTAAATACAATTTTTGTGAGGAAAATAAAGGAATTTTTTCATTTTACCTAAACAAACACAAAGCCAAAAACAATAAAAAACAAAGCAAACATGATACATGGAAAAAGTAAAGATTTACCTCTGGGGATGAAGACAGGGCAAGGATACTCCCATCAAAATGTACTATTCAACACAATATGCAAGTCCTTCACACTACAGTCCAGCATAAAAAATGGAAAATGATACCTGTGTCCACCATAATGGAACACCTTGCACTGGACTTACCCTAGATACTTGGTTAATCCAACAGGAAGTATACAATTGTGATCACTTAGAGGGGAAATGCAGGAGGGGAACCCTATAACTTCTTTGGCTTTCAATGTGGAGACAAATTGCCTAGGCAGAGTACAAAGAGAGATAAGAGCCTAATGGACTCATGAGTTACAGGGCACAAGGATGGCTGGACTCTGGACAGGACACTGAGAGAAGGGAGCTGCATAGCTGGAAAGCTCTGTGGATCTGGACTGGGCCCCTCACTGTGGTCAGGCACTGACTTGCAGAAGAGTCATGGGCAGCTCCTAAGTTAGAGATGTGCTAGTGGTCAGAGAACTATGAGTTTGTCAAAGCTCATTAGACAAACATTTAACAGTCAGTGAGATCTAATGCCAGGTATGGTGGCAAATGTCTAAAATCCCAATTAGAAGTGTAAAAGGCTGGAAAAATGCCTAACTCACAGCAATGGCTCCTCCGAGGAGAGAGATAAGCCTGGGTCTGAGGTGACAGCTAAAGTGGATCCCAAGTAGTCTGAACTAGGTGGCATTTTCATCTCATAATATCTCTGTATATTATTTTGTTAACTGACAGAATACAGTCCAGAAAATAAATTAATGGGGAAAAGTTAAAATTTATTTTAAGGATAAATTTACACAGTTACATCTATTATGAATATAAACTCCACAATACAATGAAATTCACTCAGCAGGTCAAGCATACCAACTCTATGTTTACATTTGATTAAAAATATATTTGTTGATATGTACTAATTAGCCTTAAGCTGATATTCATCTTATAAGTACTAATAACATTTAAAGCAAGGTCTTACAGGCCTTTGCCCCTTCCACTAATCTGTTCTTTCCAGGAGGTGCATACAAATCATTTATTCATATTTAAGGCAGAACACAGTACTAAGAACCTATGCTCTTATGTATATCACATAAAGAGTCAATTTGTGCAAATATTTTCCCACTATAAAACTGCTTGTAAAAATAAAAATATTTACTTTCAAAAAGGAAAAGAACAAAGCTACTACTTTACACAGATCCATTTCTGCCTTTCTTTCATACTTTAAATCTGATGTAGAAATGATAACCTTTACAATACTATAGGAGAAATATAGACAAGAAATAATGATAAAATATAAATTTTCACTATCAAAACTTTCCTGCAATGTTTAATGATGTAAGTGGATATTTTAATCAGAATTTAGCAAAAAAAAATTCATGTACCATGTATTTGGACACTGCATATATTTGTCCTCATATCATTTATTAATTTTTCATCAACAAGCTAAGTCCCATCTGAACTGACTACTGATCATAAAATATATACTGAATATTAGGAAATACTTAAAACTATTTTTGCTATAATACACGGTTTAATAATGTGATTCAAATTATTTCAAAGAAATCAGACAACTGGATACAAAAATATCAATTTGTTAATAACAAAACATTGCTTAATTGTTAAAAATAATGTCTGGGAGGAAAGGTAGGCATTATTATAAGGAATTCAGACCACATCTCAAGGGACAAAAAGGCAAATACCTTGATTCTGAAATAAGAGAACTTGTTTTATTACAAGAAAAAAACACATACCTTTCTTCTTTATTTATTTGGTCACCAAATCCCACTGTATTCACAATGGTCAATTTTAACCGAACATTACTCTCCTGGAGTTCATATGTCTGAGCTTTAAGTTTAACATCTGGGCAAAAATGTGAGCATTCATGTTCTTCAAAATTAGTATTAAACAATGTATTAATCAGTGTTGACTTTCCAATTCCAGTTTCTCCTGAAAGAAACAAAGGTATCTTCACAAGCGTATAGGACAACTGAGAAGAATTGTAACTGTAAACTTCTAGAGTAGTTTCAAGGATCCCAAATATTTCAAAGATCAGGTTGTCTTAATGCTAACGTTGTTCTTAAGTCATTAGCAGACCAGAGAAATGCTAAGTTATTCAGAATTCAAAAGCATTAAAATGTTTACAGAACAAATAAAACATTTAAAGCTTAAAAGAAAAACCTCATAGAATTTAAAAAACTGAGAAAGTCTCTGGGACCATGATCTCAAATTGATAACATGAGCATCAAATTACTCACACAGAGAATAAGGGAATGTGAGAATAAGGGAAACACTCAGGACGGGTTGCTGGCACTCACCTACACAAAGAATGTTGAAGCAGAAGCCTTGCTGAATGGATCTACTGACAAGCTGATCAGGCAAACTCTCAAATCCAACATGGCCACACATAGTCAAGGAACGAATAGTTTCTCTTTTCTGAAGGAAAACAAAAATGACAGCAACAATTAAAATAACTTGACTGAAACAGGACATGTACCTGCAAGGATAAGTATATTTTATGAAAGAGATTAGAGATTTTACAATCCCTCACCTGGGAAACAAGTGATTAAGTAAATTTGTGAGAATCCATTTAGACACTCAAAACACACTTCTTATCCCCTTTAAGCAACAAGAGTCCAGCACAATTTTAACATTAAAACATTTTGGTTTCCCAAAACAGGAAAATGTCCAAATAAACAAAAGCATATGCACTCATAAAATGGAGAATGTAAAGTCGTTAAATATGACCAACTACTACTTTGAAAGACAAAAAGCTATAGTTAGTAAAATAAATAGTGGAAATAAAATGGAATGATAAAAATATTGATCAAAAAGAAGACAGAAATGAAAAATGAAAACACAAATGGGGCACACAGAAAGTACACTATTAGAAAAGCAAACTAAAAGTAAATAAAACAAAAAAAATTAGTTACTAAAGAAATGTGAATGGGAACTATAAAAATATCAGTGAAGGGCTAGGGATTTTAGCTCAGTAGTGCCTCTGAGCCTTGCAGGCACAAGGTCCCATGTTTGATCCCCAGTACCAAAAAAAAAATTTTTTTAATTAATAAATTAATTTTTAAAATAAAATAAAATATCAGTGAAAATGCAATAAAATGACTAAAATTTAAAACAGTGTGAAGATAATGAAGAACTAGAATGCTGACAAATGTGCTGTTGTATATGTGACATACAACAACTTTGGAAAACTGGTAGGCAGCTTCTTACAAAGCTAAACACACTATTATAAAACGAAAAAGTCCAACTTGGGGGTACCCAACATAAATTTAAACATTTGTCCATGCAAGAACTTATTCATAGAAATTTTATGCCCTTAAAAACTGTAAACAACACAAACAACTAATAAATGAATAGAAAAACAAATTATAGTACCCTGTAGGATGGAATATTAAACAACAGACACATGCCAAGATATGTATGAATCTCAAGAAATACGAATCCACACAGTTGTTTATTTACTGTGATTTGAGTAAAAGTAAATGTGTATACATATTCATATATGCATATATCCTTACAAATGGAATGAGACATCTCACAGGATAGGGACAGACTAATGAGAGTGGTTACCACTGGGCAGTAAACTTGGAGCTTAGGCGAGAAAGAATTGATTTTTACTGTATATAGTGGGCAAGGAGAACTGAGATAGGGTCCAAAATGAAGGCACCTGGTGCGCAAACACTTTCTCTCAGTCACTGAATAAAAAAGAAATCCAAGTGCAGCTGAGAAGAGACATGAAGATGTGAACTCAAGAATCTGAGAAAGAGGCCATCTGGGCAGCCCTGACCTATGAGGGTGAGACCTTATAGGGCCTATGCATATATAGGCCTAAAAGATCTGAAGCATGAAGTGGACTCATGGGGAGTTTTTCCTGGCTTGCTGACTTCTAGGAGGGACAGCCATGAAGCAAGGGGCCAGAAAGGGTCTCTAAGAGCTGATGACATCCAAGCCTACAAGTAGCTGGATTCTGCCAGTAACCTAAAAGAGCCTGGAAAGGGAGATCCACAAAAGAAGCCAGGCAGCTGATACCATGGGCATGAGACTGAGCAGAAAAGCTATGGGCCATGCCTGACTTTCTGACCTGCATAACTGGGAAACAATAAAAAGTCACTATTTAAAACATCTAAGTTCAAGATAATGTATCGTGCAGCAATAGGAAATTGGTACACTACATTCTCTTTAATGCTCTCTGATTCTCAGTCATGTAAGCATGTTACTGTTATTATTTTTTTACAAAAAGAGTGAAAATGCACTATGCTTCCCATGAATGTGTTCACAAGTAGAACATTTGCTAGTTTTTTTACATCAAAGCTGAACTAAATTGCCCCTAGAATTCCCTGTGTAAAACTACATGTTTTTAATGTCACAGTACCAAAAAAAGCATTTTTAAAATGGACGTGTGGTCTCTAAGACATAATGCAGAAGAGGAGTCAGAACAAATGAAACTAAGCCACAGCTACTCCATGTATCTGTCACTGAAGACAGTAGTGACTGACAGCAATCTCAGCAAAGCAATGACTTAGAAGGCAGGTGAATAACTCAAAGTCTGCAAGGTAATAAAGATAGAACAGATTGCTATTACCATAACTAGGAGAAAAGGATGGCAGTCAAATTCAGATTTATCAAAAATGTGGGGACCTTAGCATGTATGGAGGAAGAAAAATCAAGACAAAGAAACTATAATTATTGAACACAGAACTAAAACAAATTATTCAATCTTATCATGCTTGTGCTTGCAATTTTGTTTTAATTAACATCTTTCATGAAGTTAAACTTAGCCTCTTTTGAAACATAACTTTTAATATGAATTACTAAAACCATCTTTACTACACAGACAAACTCAAAAGGCCTTTGGAAGCATCAGATCTAATCTCATAGCAGGCAGCTCCCTGCATTCTGACACCCACAGTTCTTTGCCTCTTCACAGCTTGCAATGTGCTCAGCAAAAGTAATGCTAGTCTTTCCATGGGATGCTGCTCAATGCCAAAAACGAATCCCCCAAAATAAAAAACAAGAAAAGAGAAAAAGATTGCTTAATGTCAAATAGAAAGGAATATTGTGGACATTCAACAAAATTCTACTGATGTTTCACTTGAATCAACAGAAAAAAACTAATTCACATTAAACGTAAGCATAAACAAAGCCTCTTGTACAAATTTCTGCAAATCCTCTGAGTTATTTTGAAATCACAGCAATAAAAGAGCAATATATAATCTGTTTAAAAGGCATACTTACTTTCTGATCACCACTGGATTCTTGTGAGGCCATAGATGCAATCTTTGATGCCATGTTAGACTGAAACAGCTAGAAAAGAAGTGTCTTTTGCAATAAAACAAATACCTTAACCATCAACATTTACTTATACAATATATTTACATCAGAAATGGGTTCTAATATTGTCATTGTCACAAAGTCTTGACTTGCCAAATCCATATTATGGATGAAATTGAGGCTGTCTTACTACATAAGTAAATAAAATACAATATTCAACATACACAGTAATATGCTTAAACACACACACACATTGTAAGAAATCAGTAAACTCCCATTTACAAGAAGGACAATGAATGCTACTTTTATTTAAAAGACTTGAATACTCTATGAGTCAAGGTGGTACCCAAAATTAGGTATGTTTCACTGTAGCATAACAGGGGAAACAAAAATGTTAAGAATGGTCCAGCTGTATGAATAGCTGGAAAAGCAGGGATTTAAAAATCTGAACAAGTAGCATGGCCATCCAATTAACATAAAAACAGTTATCATTTGTAGAACTTCTATTATATGCCTATCACTATGCTAACTCAGTATATTTCCTTATTTAATCCTTACTAAACACATCCGAGTTACACATATTATTTTTTTTTCCAGTTTGAAGCAGGAGACTCCTATATCATTTTGTTTAATTATGCATATTATTATTCCCACAGCCTAGATGAGAAAATTAAGAGTCAGACAAAGTGAGTTATCATCCAAGTTAGTAGGCTATAGACACAGATGCAATCTGACTACATAGCTGGTGTTCCTGTCCAAAGTTGTAAACCATATACATAACGCCTAGAATAATAGAAAATAAGGGAAGAAGGGTACAAGAGAAACCACTCATTTCAAGGCATTGCTAACCTATTTTTCAATGTATCATGAGATACTGAAAAAATGGAGCATATTTTTGTAAAAAGGAGCTGTGGGTATAGCTTGGTATACAGCATTTGGCTAACATGCACAAGGCCTTAGATGGAACCCCAGCATGAAAGAAAGACAAGAAAAAAGAAAAGAGAGAAGGGAGGAAGGGAAGAGGGAGAGAGAGAAAGGCAGGAAGGACAGAGGAGGGGAAGGGAGGGGAGGAGGAGAGGAAAATAGGCAGGTGGGCAGGCAGTTTAACATGGATATAGTATTTTTTAAAATGCAGTATCAAAAGGAACAAAGTGCAAAATGAGTTCCCTTCACATTGACAATTCCCTTGTATCTCACGTCTCTTCCTGGAAGACCAGGATCTCATGCATCTTTCCAAAGATTACACAAATCTATGCATGCATATACATGCAGGGCTTCTTCATTCATACAATGGTAGCAGCTGATTACTGTGCACTGTGGGGTTTGTTTTTCTCAATCTTCCCTGGAGACCCATATAATGATGTAGACCTATCTTACTCTTTCTATGGTATGGTATCCTATTCTGAACTCTAGAGTACAGTACACAAGGATACTCTATTTAGAGAGTCTACTTGTCTGTGATTACAGTGAACTGTGCTGCAACAAATAGCTTCACTCATGTGTGGCAAAAGGGAGAGGCTATTATGCTCTTGCACCCCCATCTCTCCCTCTCTGACACACACACACACTCACACACACACAAATGTGCACCACTGCTGGATACAGAATGCTAACAACAGTCATCATCTGAGACATTAGGTAGAATAAGCCTGGCTGACCTTGTGACCTAATATTATATCACTGAGCATTTTCAAATCCTTAGTAGCTAACATTAAACATTCTTTCAATGTGAAGTGACTCTGCAGCAAAAGTTCCATGACAAACACATAGGTACTGGTCGTGTTTTCACAATGAAAAGCACATAGTAATACAAAGCATATCAAAATTGGCCTAAGGTTCTATTTATTCATTTTGGTCTTTTGAGACAAAGTCTCACTATTTAGTTCAGGCTGACCTTGAACTTGCTAAACAGCCCAGGCTGGTCTTGAACTCATGACCTTCCTGCCTCAGCCTCTGGAGTTCCAGGAGTGCAGGGTATACCACCATATCCAGCTTATTCTGAAAATCCCCTGCAGGCCTAGTTACCATGTGGCATATAAGCAGTGGGTCACAAACCTCTTCTATGTAGAGAAAAAAAGTGAGAGCCACTAGAAACGAACACTAATGGATACAGATATTTGGAGAAGGAGGCTGTCGAAGGCAGCAGCAGTTTCCAAGGTAAGCAATATCACTGAATTCAGGAAAGAGCATCAGATGAAGCATGTAAAGTAGGAAAAAAAACTCTGAGCACTAGCAGGGAAGGAGAATTCTTTATCCAGAGAAAGTAAACAGCAACTACAAGAATTTAATTTAGTGGAAAAAACCAGATTCACTAGTCTCAAGTTGCAAAGGAACAAAAGAGGTTAAGAGGAATAGATTAGGATAATACATGATGATCATACTGAGTAAATCAGAGGTGTTCACTTAAGAGTCCAGTTAGTACAGTCCCACAGAAGATAGTTAGGGGCTCTCTCCAGAACTGTGTATTAGGTACACTGGGAGGGACAGCAGTACATTCTATGATCCATGCCACTTGCTTGCAGTTAGTCACTAATCAAACCTTAATGATGAGTTCATATAAAATATATCTTATTTTTTCTAAGCAAATTTTGCTTACTAACACAAATGCCAACTAAATTTTTGGGCTAGTTACTATTTTCTCATTGCTGGGACAAATTACCTGACACCCTAAGTTAAAGGGCAAAAGGTTTATTTGGCTTACACTTTGTAGAGGTTTCAGTCTATAACCAGCTCCAAGGCAGGGTGGCAGAGGGGCAACAGTTTATGGCAGCAAAAGATAGCAAAAGCAAAAAGAGATCTTAACAGCATCTTTCTGCCCCTTTTATCTTATTTAGACTACCAGGATTAGGGCAGTGCCAGACCAATCACTCATGTGTACTGGTTTATTAATCACAGCATCACACACTCTAGATTCAGCCACTTCTGAAAAAGAAAGTCCCACCTCACCTGCATGAAGCCACGGGGGTACATCTAAACACAAGCTATAACAACCGTACTTTGAAAAATCCAATTGCATGCTATCATTGGATTAAAAACTAAAAGCCACTTTCTTACCAGTAAATACTGAAAGTTTGATTATCATTGAAGTCCTGTGGTTGACAAGTGTACTTAATACAATCTCAGCAATCAAATGTGTGGCACACATGCTCAGGTACTAGAAATGGTGTGTTATGTCAGGAAATGACACTGAGAGTGGGACGTCCTGCTGTCCCATCCAGTGTAACTAATTCAAGGCTGTGGACAGAGCCCCTAAAAAGTATTTTCTGTGGAACTGGACTTTATACCTTTGAGCAAGAAACAATGACAAATATGTGATACGATGAAGAATTAAAATGGAGTCACAAAAACTGTACTCACAGGAACAGTGGATTAAAGAAAGACAAGGAAAAACTGTATCTTGTGGACGTGGGAAGATTCTATGGAACCAAATCTTCAGGCTTACTGAAATGAAAAGCAGAGGACTGACTCTGGGGAGAAGTGCATGCTTCATGCAGGCAAGATGACAGAAAAGCCAACTATATTTACAAAGTCATTTGCTAAGCCCAAGAAAAGCAAATTTGAGAGGAGCTGGAGGAAAAAGGAAAGCAGAAGAAACAGCTACACATTGGAAGAACTTAAAAGTGTTAAGAAATATGGAAAAAAGAATACTGATGGATCTGTGAAAAAATCAACCAGCACACACTTTTCATTTTCTCTGCAAGTAATACTATGGTATTTACTAGAAAGCCTCACATTTTAAGGACAGAATAACAGACCCCAGGCACTGTGGATCAAAGCTAAGTAAATATTCTTGCAATGTAGTACACAAAGGAGACCTATGTACAACAACAACAACAACAAAAAGTGGACAAGACACTCAGGGTACAAGGAACTCTACACAGAAGGCACTGAGAAGAAAAGGCTGAGCTTAGATCTGTAGGAGAAACAAGAATTTTCTCAGCATAACGTAGCAGAATCAGCATGTGCAAAAGGTGGAAGTGTGGTAGAGCTTTGAAGCTGCAATGAACTCTCTATCATGTAAGCCTGAGGAAGCTTCTGTTGAAGTGCAAGGATGGCAGAAGTGAGGCTGCAGAGGGCACAGGAGGCTGCTGGGTCCCTTGTTCCTTGGAGTGACTTCATGAGTGCCTCCAGTTATCTTACACTAGGGTCACAGGACAGATGTTACTGTGGAACAGGAAAGAAAATAGGGGATGAATCAGCATGAGTTTGATGAAGTTTTGGAAATACAAAATGAGGGGTATGAGGGGTATGAGGGGTATGTTCCAAAACCCTCAGAGGCTGAGTTAAAACTATGCATAAAAAGTACTAAAGTAGTCTTCCCTTATGGTATGAGGGGTATGTTCCAAAACCCTCAGAGGCTGAGTTAAAACTATGCATAAAAAGTACTAAACCCTATATAGCAATGCCTTTTTTATCTCAACTAAGCATGCACTATGGCTTCACTTTTGCAGTTTGAGATACAAAAGCAAAAGTCACACAGATTTATTGTTCCTTCTTCACAATTCTGTGGCAGAAGATTTCTATCACAGATATTTGCAACCTCAGCATATAAATTTGTCTCCCTTAGTCTAGAACATTTACCTTTTTACTTAAAGGAAGCATTTTACAGCTTTTCTTTGACACATGTGAACTGCCAGCATCACTACTCTTGCACTTTAAGGCCATAATTAAAACAAGGGTTGCTTGAACACAAGCACTTTGACAGTCGATCTAATAACCCAGACAGCTACTAAGCATCCAATAGGTGGTAGCATATACATCCAGTTTGCACTGGAACAAACAGATGATTCTTGTCTTGGGCGGGACAGCACTAGACTTCATAATGCTACTCAGGATGGTGTTCAATTTAAGACTTATGAATTCTTTATATCTGGAATTTTCCCTTTAATATTTTTGGACTGTGCTGATTGTGGATAACCAAAACCCTGGAAAATGAAACCATAAAGAAGGAGGGACTACTGTACTGAGTTTAAGACTCTTATGTCCTGCTCTTAAGGAGTCTCTATTACACTAGGGGAAAGCAGGCTAAAAAC